CGTAAGGGGTAAAAGAATCTTGAGATCATGGGGCTTCCCCTGACCTAGATTCTATCTCTCCGTCACCGGCAGAATCGCTGATTAATGCCTACAGTTCAAAATAGTCATTTTGACTGACCGGAGTCTATGGTGGGTATGAACTATGTGAATAGGCGGGTTCAGAGAACCCTCGCCTAATTTCAGACAACATGAGTTAAACTTGGCAACACACAAGAGAACCTGAAACCCCTACTTTCAGGACAAGTCTCCTCATGACTAACGTTGCTAATTGTCTTTTTTTTTTTTTCGCGTAGGTCCATACCAGCCATAGTCTTCAAGAGTTCATCAATGGTGCTTCTTACAGAGATTCCATAGATTCTCGCTGTTTTTTTTTCTGTGAATATGAAACTTGTAAAATGAAATTGTAAAATACTGTCCTGCTGTGTTATTGTCTAATATAGTATTACCAATAATAGAGAATTTTATTATGAAATATAAATGTCAGTTTATTGAGTGTGTATTTCAATGTCTTAGTACTATTGTACGTTTCTCATGGAGCCGTCATGCCATTGGAGGGGGAATGGGGGTATTTAGTGACTAAAATGTCAGTTTTTTAACAAGTTACCTTTCAGTCAATATTTTTAATGTACAGATTTATATCCACTGTTGTGTATGCCTTAAACATTTAAAGACCAATGTATGTCTTTTCTAAAACCAGTCCATGTGCGAATGTTTTTATACAATCTTTAGACCGTGTTTGCAGATTTTTGACAACCAGCATGCGAATGTCTGATGACAAATGTTGCTCATTGATCAACAATACCTCACATCTGCTGTGACGTTATTTATCAGTGAGAATATTAACATGGACATATATATGTATATTTAAAAGCAGAGAATGTGCAAATCGTCAACAATTTACGCCGGTCTGTTAGTTCGAGAAGGATTACGGGAGATGCATTCTGGTCAGGGGTGGTCATAGCAATATAAACAATGCCTCGTGTACAGGCAGTCAATTTCCTTCCATGAGAGGTGTACAATATGAAGAAGATGTAAATCGTCTTAATGGTAGATGTTGTGAATACAGATTGCATTTCCTATTTTGCATGTACATACCATGCAAGCGTACATGAAGTGTAGCTGGTAGGTGTTGTTTTGGGTTTAACGTTGAAGTAATCAAAAAACTTAAGTTATGCAGATTATTTTCATAATGAAGACCTTAAGGATGGTGTATCATGTTTGCATGCGTTATTGGCTACGTCCGATTGCATGATTTCGAAGGCCTGACTAAGAAACGACTGTTGGATGTCGTTTCCTGGGGTTAACATCATTCATCCATTTATAAATATTTTAACACTGAATGTTTTTGTAATCAAACAACATTGATCATCGTATTTATCATGCCTTCATTTTGTTCAAATCCTAAACGACTCTTGATGGTGTTTGTCCCACTTGGAACAACTACTGTGTAAAGTCCAGGGATGTGTGGTACCCGTACTTCATATTGGGTACCTTATGATCAAATAAACATCATACCAAGTAACAGCATCGTGTCATTTATAAGTTGCCTCTGCATGAATGGCTGCCTCTGATATTTTATGCAGCACCTCCCATACCTTGCCCTGCATGAATCTGTGCACACTTGTATCAGAAGATTAATAGCAATCTGTGAGACTGAAATAAATAAAATAGTGTTGTAGTTTATCGTATATAAAGCCTGACCTTATTTCTGACAATCTATTCTGATTCATTATGGGTTTCTCGCTCACTTTATAGTCATGGTTTTTAAACAATGACTTATTACACAACAGGAAAATCATGACTGTTTCCAAGTGTCTGGCTTTTAGTTCACTAATACAAATCCTAACCCAGTTCATTCACCATACTAATACCAAAACTAATGCATCTTCTCCATAGAAAATTTCTGTTCTGTGGATCTGTAAATATTATATTTTCAATGTGTCATGCAATTTCATACAAATAAGATTACTGGTAATTGTAAAAATGCCATTTATTTAATTACTATGCTTCATTCATTGAGTATATTTTATTAAGCATTATTTTTAGGTTTCTATCAATTGAAACCATGTGTTTTTATAATTATTTTTTCAACCCTAATTATCTGTAATGTCCCAAATTAGAGTAATATTTGTAAAATTCTTCAAGGGATGGAATGGCTTGGCTCGGCTTTGCTCTGCTTTGGATGTCCAACAGTATTTGTAATCCAAATAAAATACTTGCATGTAAAGAGTACTTGCTCAAATAAGGTGTGCCCATATGGCATCTGATTTTTTTTTTTGACTCCCGTGTGCGAAGCACAAAAGGGAGTCTTTGCAGTTACCCTGTCTGTATGTATGTATGTCACTGTTTTTGTTCCACCGTTATCTCAAGAACCACTAATCAAATTTTTGTGAAACTTGGTAAACAGATACTCTGGGATAATGCGCAGAGTTGATTAGGTTTTGGTAAAAATTTATGAATATTAATTACCTAATTTGCATGATAATTAGCTGATTTTTAGCTGTTTCAAGACTGTTCCACTGATATCTGAAGAACCATTAATTGGATTTTGATGAAATTTGGCACATGGATGCTCAGAACTAGTGCGCAGATTTGATTAGTTTTGGGTAAAAAGCTATGAATATTAATTACCTAATTTGCATGATAATTAACTGATTTTAAGCTGTTCCACTGATTTTTGAAGAACCACTCATTGGATTTCAATGAAACTTGGCACATGGATGCTCTGAACTAATGCGCAGATTTGATTAGTTTTGGGTAAAAATCTGTTAATATTAATAATTACCTAATTTACATAATGATTAATCAATTTTCGTTTTTCCACTGATATCTCAAGTACTAATCATAATATTTCAATAAAACTTGGTACATAGGTGTCATATGACACTGCACAGACCTGATAGTTTTTAGGGTAATATCAGTACATATTAAGTACCTAATTTGCATAATTAATGTAATTTTCCGCTTTTGATATTTCGAGTAGTAATGATCACGTTTCAATGA